CTCTGTCCTATAGGGTCTCTATGGGTTGGAATCAACTTGATGGCAACAGTACTGGGATGTTTAGTTGAATACAACTGGGAATTCTCCTTTCCATCTAAATTCTCATTGCTGTTAACGTTATAGAATATGAAATAATGGTAGGGTTGGTTAACTTTATTTCATGCTTATGCAATATAATATTCAAATCCTTTTGTCCCCTCAATAACCCCTAATGGTCAGAGAGCCTATAGGAAGCTATTTCTCTTCTGATGCCTGCGTGCCATCTGATTTGTTTAGGCTCTTTGAACTGTATAATGTTGTTTTCATGTATGAAATTTAAATTTGCATAATTGTCTAGGGGTAGCATAATCATATCATTTGCCAGATGATTTAAAAGAAAATTAGGTTAATTAATGATTAAATTAGAAAATTTCTCCCTTGAGCCATAGGTTTTTGCTTATTTTAACAAGCAAAAGGTACTAGAATCTTGCAACTTTTTTTCTGAAATAGTTACAACTTCACAGTAAAGTTTTGCCTCCGTTTAAGGAGTTAGTAATGTGGTAGAGTAAGATTTATGCTGGGCTTAGGTCCTAGTTCTGGCCAGGTGCCAATGACTCACTGGGCACTTTGATCATTATCTATGAGATGATGATACTGGACTAAGCGATCGCTTCTAGCTGTTAAGGCCGATGGTCTTAAACCCCTGTTCTTCAGTATGTGTTGGTGGGAACACTAGCTTTGTGGAGCTTAAGGCTTTACTCAAGAAAGGGTTTTGTGGTCAAATACATTTTTGAAGCTTTGGGTTAAACAAGTTTCTTTTCAGAAACTTTAATATGCTTATATGCTTCAAAGAGAGTGCAAGTTAATGTATATAGAGTTTCCCAACATCTTTGTCCACGAAACATGTTTCGTGAAGTATCTCTTGGGAATAATGCTTTCAAGAGCTCACTGCAGGAAACATTGTAAACAGTGGTTTCACTGACTTTGAAGGTTAGAAAGCCATTTATGAATTGGTATTGTTATTTCTATTAACAGAGGAAAAACAAAAAGAAAGTATGTATCACTGTTTCTCATGAATGGAAAAATGAAGTGATTCATTTTTTTGTCACTTGCATAGTTGGACATGGGATTCTTTTTCATTTTATCAAATGAAGTTGTTATAGACAATTTTGTCTAAAACCTCTTCTATGTCCTCCCCCAGGAATTCCATCACCTTTCTAATTTCGTGTTTTGAATCCTGTAGGGGAGAGCAGAAGAAAAGAAAACTCTCTAGCAAAGGAACATCCAGCAACAGTCAAATCTCAAAAAACTAAGCATGATAATAATGATTAAAAATATAAATCACTGTTTTGAAAGCCTGTTAGTTTATGATAAGACGTAATCTAGAAACATTATGTTTAATATTATACGTACATTTATAAGAGTCATTTCAATAAACTGGCGATTTAAAGTGCAATTATATAAAGAAATTGTTTCATCCTATGTTACTAATGGGGTTTAATCTGTGAACCTTATTATTTTGCTTAACTCTCACAGCTAGTAGATAAGAAAGTATTTTGGAGAAGAGGTGGCTCTTTTTCAAAATAAACAAGACATATTTTCATCTTCTGACTGGAGAAACAAAAAATGAATGGAGTCCCTATTTCTCTCACCTGGTACAGAAGCACTCTGGTGCTTCCCTCTTTTGCTTTCTGTCTTGATGCTCTTCAAGTGGACCGTCAGACAAGGGGACCAATGTCGGTCGGACTCTCTAGATCTGAGCTTATTCCGGACTCTAGGCCTGTCAGGGATACCTGTTGGCCACACCTCATGAGAGCTGTTTTGCATTCTGAGATCGATTCCTGCTTCATCCGTAAGAAAAAAGATTTCCTGTTTGGGGTAGGAATTGCCTCCGTTTGGAAGTCTCCAGGTTCTCTCTTCCAGGCTTTCTCTCTCTTCCTCTGACTTGCTCTGACTTCCAGTCCATGTGTCCTGCCTGCCTTCTAGCTCCTCCCCACCCCTTGCGGCTCCCTGGCACCCGGAGGCTCAGGGCAGTGGAAACGACTCCCAGCCCTGTTGAGAAGCGGTGGGAACTCTGACACTGAGGAAGGCCACAGAGCGCAAGCACGGATGTAAACAGGGATTTTGACCCAAAGCCAAATATATGGAAGAAAAGCGGCAATGCATTTTCCCTCTGAAGACCCAGAGCAGAGAGGAGAACCAGGGAGGTGATGTGGTAGCACTCAGTTCACCACGCGAGGGGATTAGTGATCCAGGTTATAAATTCA